TAGGGGGGTCCCACGGGAGCTGCCCTGCCCTGGCTTTTGCCTCCACCCACCCCGAGGAGTCTCACTGTGCTGGTGGGCACACCCCAAATCTTTCCGGCACCAGCGTGGCAGGGAAAAGAACAACTGGAGAGGCTGAAACCGGTGGGGAGCAGGTGGGAAGGAAAATGGGGCAAGAAAAAAAGGGAAGGGTCCCCCAACCACCCTGCAAAACCCCTGAGGATGGAGAACAGGCAGGGAGGATGGAGGACAGAGGAAAAGGGACAGGCAGCATCCCCATTCCCAACCCTCCTCCCATAGAGATGTCGTGTCAGGTTGAACCTGTGATCTGGCCCTTTCCTTGCAGAGAAGGAAACCCAAAACCAGCTTCACTAGTTGTTAAATAAACTTTATTTTTGCACGGGGAGGGGTTAAAGGAAAATAAAATTTCTCCCGAGGATGAGCAGCAGCAGGGGGGAGGAGCAGCCCGTGGCTCTCCCACGGCGCTGGGTGGGCTCTCTGAGTGGGAGATGCTCGGGGTGCCCACGGTCCCCCCGGGCGCGCAGGTCCCTAAAGGCACAAGTGTCACTCTGTCCCCTCCCTGCGTGGCTCTGTCACCCCGGAGCAGCCCAGCTTGTGCAAAACCCCCACGTAAAAAAATACCAGTTTTTCAGTATCGAACATCTTAAAAAACTAGAGCTTTGATCAACGTCAGTTCTCCACATCCTTGATTGGAAATCTGGACTGACACCCGGGAAAGCTGCTGGGTTCCACCGGGAGGGGACATTGGCACCAGGAGGGTGGCAGGGAGCAGCACCTGGTTAGTGTGAGGAGGGATGGACCTTTCCACCCACCCTGCTCAGTCCTGGGTGGGCAGAGGGTCCCACAGGACCGGAGTCCCCATCCCACACTGTCCCTGTCCCCAGAGAAGGGCCAGGCGCAGGATGGGCTCCCGGGCAGGGGGGCTGTGCTCTCTGCCTCCTGCCATCCCCATCCCTTGGGGCTCATCTGGCTGGATGAGAAGCCGAGGGCAGCGCTGAGGTCGGTGCTGGGGGCTAAAGGCTGGGCTCTGTGCTGGCCTCCAGCCGCTGCTGGTACCGCTGCCGGCGCTCACAGCGCGGGCACGACGTGGCCCGGGCTTGGCAGTCCCGGTGGAAGACGGTTTTGCACTCGCTGCACCTGGGAAAACAGGGGAAAAAACACCCACTGTGTTGGTAACATCAGAGCAAACACCAAACTCCTCCTCCCAACCAAACCAGGGAACACTTCCCTATCTTGGGGTTCTCTGAGCCCCAGCCTGGCTCTGGCTCAGAAGGAGCCTTGAATGCAGGAGCAGCAGCTGCTCGAGCAAAACCTCAGCAGCTCCGAGCCGGAAGGAGCGCCGTGGGTGCTGCCGGCAGCTGCCAGTGTGGGAGAGAGACCAGTGAGGTTTGAGCTGAGGTTTGTGCCCTGCTCTCACAGCAGGGACAGCACTGAGCAAAGCTTCAAAGGTGTGACAACCACCCCTGGAATAGCAAACCCTGCGACAGCGACCCTGAGACACCAAACCCTGGACACTGACCCCTTGACACTGACCTCGTGACACCAACCCATGTGGCACCAACACAGTGACACCGACCCGTGACACTGACCCCAGGACACCAATCCCTGCGATGGCATTGCTGTTGGGGACCCTCTGCTTGCCAGGGCTGGGGGGCACAATCAGAGACCCCCACCCTGATGGTGGGACCTGCATGTGGCAGGGACACTGTGGGGACACCAGAGCCACAGAGAGGGGACAGAAGCCAGGATGGTGCTGCCCTTGAGGTGGGATGTGTCCTAATTGTTCCCTAATCCAGCTCAGCAGCAGCAGGAACATGAACAGCCACAGTGACACCCTGCATGGAGCAGCTGGGGGGGACCCCCCAGCTCGGGTGGGGGGTTCAGTGCTGAATCAACAGAACAAATGTCCCCACTACAAGGACTGAGCTCAATTTTTGGG